AGAGAGCAAATCATCGTTGACGACTTAACTGTGGCACAAAATCTACCTGTCGGGGCCCATGGTCCCCACCCCACCTTCACCTCCGCCTCCGACTTCCAAACGCTGCAAGGAGTGATTACATCTACTACAGTCTAGCAAATGTCCATAGGATGCAGTAATATCGAATTGGTCGAAAAAAAAACAGATCCAAACTGGAGGCAACAATAGATATGGAAGCCATTCCATGCCACTAATTTGAGATAGTAGAATGCTTACCTCTTCTATTGAATCCTGCTGGAGACAACAGTTTCGAAGCAGACCATCAGTTCCTCCTTGTAGTAGTGCCTCATCAGGAGGGAAAAGTGAAACCGACTCGTGCAGCTGCTCAACCTCCACTTCCTCCACTGTCGGCATCACTTCGTTAGAGGCCATAGGAGCAACCTGTTGCAACATTCCTGTCACGGTAATAGACTCGCACGAGAAAGAGGAGTCCATGACTGAAGTTACCTCAGCGAGTTTTGGTGATATAGAGGGTTCCAAATAGCCCTCTTTCGCACCTTCCTCTTCCGCCTCTTGCTCCTCCTCCTCTTCCTTAACCCCCACATCCACATCCACCCTCAGGGGTTCAATTGGGACAAGCGGATTAGGTAGTGACGATGTCAAGGCCTTGGGTTTCCTTCCACGTCGCTTAGGGGTCACAGAAACAGGCTCCTTCGTCAAAGAATCATCACCAAGAGCAATTTGCTGTCGGAGTTCCGTGAAACTCAGTTGCTTGACTGCTGGCGCCGAGCTTGTCGCTCCTGCTGGACGCACACGTTTTTTTGGCGATGGTAAGCCTGGAGGAGATGGTCTCAAAAGGAGCGGCTTCACAAGCGAGGGCTTCCTTGAGCCGTGGTGAAAGACGGTTGTTTTTGACATGGCAGTAACCCCAATCGGTGAATGCGATTTTAACAAGGGAAGGATTGCATTTAAACTCCTTTCACGAGGACGCTTAGGTGACTGATGAGGAAGAGGAGAGGTGGTGTTTGAAACATCTTGTTTAACGGGATCGGAAAGCGCCTCATCCATCCACCGACGTTGGACCGAGTGGGCAAAGAGGCGTCCACATTCGACACCAGGAGAAATAATATCCCCAAGACGAGTTGCAGCGTCAAGATCGCGAAGATGTTGAGTTGTACAAGTCCTCGTGATTGTGGCTCGTAGCGGAGAGGTTTCGGAGTGCCGTAAGAAGTAGTAAGGCTGGAAGAGAGGATGAAGGATGGATGGTGATACAGCATATGAGACTACCTCCAGATGGCACCAATCCGTGCCATTGCCTTGATTGCTTGCAATTTGTTACATGGCGTCTCTTTAACGTGTCACCCATCTCCCTTAATCTCCCATACGAAAGAGCACTAAGACTTCTTCCATCAGCAAATCGCTCAGATGCAGAGCAAGTACAACTGAGAGTAGCGAGACGAGGGACCCACCTTGGTAATGACCTTAAGATATGCCGGAGCAATATCTTTGACAAGTAGCTCTCCTTCCTCGTTTTTTGTGATAAGACGCTCACAGAGGAAGACGAGTGGATGGTGATCGGTGGGTGGGATTGTCATCTCCTCTGGTGGAAGCACGACAGCCGGAAGGTCAGCCGGTCGGCCAAGTCGATAGGTGGTGGGAGAGAGAACACAACAACGTCCTCTAAGGGTGGCGAGGGGAAGGACAAGGCGACTTGTCTCATCATAGATCAACTCCCTTGGATGCCAGGTGTCTGGTGAGTGAGAAAGGCTGGGGGGAAGATCGTAGGGTCGAAGAAAGGCTCCGCCTTCCATCCAACTTCGTCCTCTGTTGGGATAGGGGGAGAGACAAAAATTTACCTCCTTGTTAGTGAACGATGATGCACTTTAAAAATAGTAGTTCGACAGAGTCCATCCAAATTTCCTTCAACAAGGCTTAAATATAGTTTTTTCACGTAGTCATAGAACCAAAAAAAAAAATGAAATCGGAAATTCAAAGAGCTCGATTTAACTTACTTAGCATCCTTCCATA